TCGAGATCGGACATTGCTCTCCTCCCAAGAAGTAAGCGTCTTCTGATTTCCTGGCTACAGTCTGCATCTGCAGTAATCTTTGCCCTAGAAATACAAAGTCTGTCACGGCCTCCACGTTTCTCCTTCTATTTTCCAGTTGTCAATCATTCTTGTTGCCATAATCTTGGTTTTTTTGACGTTTAGCTGCAACCCGGCTTTTGCGCTTTCTTCTTTCACCTTGATTAGAAGGCTCCTCAGCTCCTCCTCGCTTTCGGCCATCAGAGTGGTGTCATCTGCATATCTGAGGTTGTTAATGTTTCTTCCAGCAATTTTCACCCCAGCCTTGCATTCATCAAGCCCCGCACATCGCATGATGTGTTCTGCATACAAGTTAAAAAGGTTGGGTGAGAGTATGCAGCCTTGCCGTACGCCTTTCCCAATCTTGAACCAGTCTGTTGTTCCGTGGTCAGTTCTGACTGTTGCTACTTGGTCCTTGTACAGATTCCTCAGGAGAGAGACAAGGTGGCTTGGGATGCCCATGCCACTAAGAACTTGCCACAATTTATTATGATCCACACACAGTCAAAGGCTTTAGAATAGTCAATGAAGCAGAAGTAGATGTTTTTCTGAAACTCCCTGCCTTTCTCCATTATCCAGCGGATATTGGCAATCTGGTCTCTCGTTCCTCTGCCTTTTCTAAACCCAGCTTGAACATCTGGCAACTCTCGCTCCATGTATTGCTGGAGTCTTCCTTGCAGGATCTTGAGCATTACATTACTGGCATGAGAAATAAGGGCCACTGTACGGAAGTTTGAGCAGTCTTTCGCATTTCCCTTTTTTGGTATGGGGCTATAAGTTGATTTTTTCCAGTCTGATGGCCATTCTTGTGTTTTCCATATTTGCTGGCAAATGGCATGCATCACCTTGACAGCATCATCTTTTAAGATTTTAAACAGTTCAGCTGGGATCCCGTCGTCTCCTGCTGCCTTGTTGTTAGCAATGCTTCTTAAGGCCCATTCAGCCTCACTCCTCAGGATGTCTGGTTCTAATTCATTCACCACACCGTCAAAACTATCCTCAATATTATTATCCTTCCTATACAGATCTTCTGTATAGTCTCGCCACCTTCTCTTGATCTCTTCAGCTTCTGTTAGGTCCCTGCCATCTTTTTTTCTTATCATACCAATTTTTGCCTGAAATTTACCTCCAATGTTTCTAATTTTCTGGAAGAGGTCTCTTGTCCTTCCTATTCTGTTGTCTTCTTCCACTTCCATGCATTGCTTATTTAAAAATAGTTCCTTATCTCTTCTGGCTAACCTCTGGAATTGCGCATTTAACTGGGCATATCTCCCCTTATCCCTGTTTCCTTTTGCTTTCCTCCTTTCTTGGGCTACTTCCAGTGTCTCAGCAGACAACCATTTTGCCTTCTTGGTTTTCTTTTTCTTGGGACGTACTTTGTTGCCGCCTCCTGAACAATGTCGCGGACTTCTGTCCATAGTTCTTCTGGGACTCTGTTTACTAAATCTAGTCCTTCAAATCTGTTCTTCACTTCCACTGTATATTCGCTAGGAATGTTAGTGAGATCATATCTAACTTGTCTGTGTATTTTCCCTGATCTCTTTAGTTTTATTCTAAATTGAGCAATAAGAAGTTCGTGATCTGAGCTACAGTCAGCCCCAGGTCTTGTTTTCACCGACTGGATGGATGTCCGCCACCTTTGGCTGCAAAGGATGTAATCAATCTGATTTCGGTGTTGACCATCTGGTGAGGTCCATGTATAAAGCCGTCTTTTAGGTTGTTGGAAGAGAGTATTCGTTATACACAGCGAGTTTTCCTGGCAAAATTCTATCAGCCTGCGTCCCGCTTCATTTTGTTCTCCCAGACCATGCTTGCCTGTGATCCCTGTTGTCATTTGACTTCCCACCTTGGCATTCCAGTCTCCTGTAATGAAATAATGTCTCTTTTTGGTGTATTATCCAGTAGGTCCTGCAGATCCTCATAGAACTGATCTACTTCTGCTTCTTCAGCAGCTGTGGTTGGGGCATATATTTGGATCACTGTAATGTTGAAAGGCTTTCCTTGCACTCGAATTGAGATCATTCTGTCATTTTTTGGGTTGTATCCAAGCACCGCTTTAGCGAATTTCTTATTAATTATGAAGGCTACTCCATTTCTTCGATGTTCCTCTTGTCCACAGTAGTAGATCTGGTGGTCATCTGATGTGAAGTGGCCCATTCCAGTCCATTTCAGTTCGCTGACCCCCAGAATGTCTATCTTTAGTCTTGACATCTCAACAATAACAACATGGCTCATAGATCTTACATTCCAGGTTCCTATGGTGTCTTGGTCTTTAGAGCATCAGATTCGTCGTTCACCTCCAGTACCATCGGCCGCTAGCCTTCCTTTCGGCTTTGAGCTAGCTGCGTCATCACATCTGGGGCTAGTTGAACTTATCCTCTGCTCCTCCCCAGTAGCATTTTGGCCATCTTCCGACCTGGGAGTCCCATCTTCCAATGGCATGTTGGGTATGTGTGTCAAATTTGATCCAGATCCATTGTCAGGTGGGTTCACAGTTCTCTTTGTTTGTGAATGAACTATAACTCACTCCCAATATCCACGGTCAATTCCCTCCAAAGCCTGCCAGTCCTTAAAGCTGGTTGTAGGGTGTGCCTGTGTGCTAAGTCTAATCTAGCTCCATTATTGGTGGGAGTCACAGTGGTCTCTGGATGTGGGTGAGCTGCAATTCCCATCAACCTTGATTATTATCCCACGCCCTCAGACTCTGCCGGTATTTTCTGTTTGCCATGGGAGGGTGTGTGTGGGTCACATGTGTTAATGGCAGGAGTGACTGGGCTCTTAGGATGTAGAGTGAACTATAGCTCCCATCATTCAGGGTCAATTCCCGCCAAACCCCTCCAGTATTTTCTGTTGATCATGGGGGCACCGTCTCTGTGAAAAATTTGGTCAGATCCAACATAGTGGGGTTTACTGTGTTCTCTGAAAGTTCTCCCTGGATGCGGGGTAAACTGTAATTCCCATTATCCAGGGTTAAGCCCCCACCCCAAAACCCTTCCAGTGTTTTATTTTCATTGTGGTTAATCTGTATGTCATGCTTGGTCCATATCTGTTGGCAGGAATCACAGTGCTCTTTGGAAGTGAGCATTATCTTGGAAAATACATACAAACATAGATAGATAGTATATTTCTAAACCTTTACCTCTGCTCTTAGACTCTGACCATTGGCCTTTCTAGCTTAGATTTTCTCTATGGAAAATGAAAGGTTGCAAAATCTTGATATAGAGCTATAGCTGTGGGCAAAAGTTACAACTATATAAAAATGTCCACTAAATTTTGTGCTGGCTTGTACATGGCACACAGCAATATAACCCAGAATATCAAGGTTGATAATCCACAACATTTGCTTTGATCTGGGTTATCTGAGTCCACATTGTCATATAATCCAGCTCACTGTGGATTTTATACAACTGTGGGGAAGGGGCCTATGAGAATGCTGTATAAAGACTTCTGGGATCAAGTCTGTTTTTAATCTACCCCCATATTTAATCTTTTTTCTTTTTTTCACAAAACAAAAATTCTACATAAAATTTTGTTTTCAGCAACAATTTCACTTGAAGAATGCGAAGGATAATTTGCCAGAACATTGATACAACTTATGCGAAGGTCAAGATGCAATCAACAAACATATGAACTGTAAACTAATTGTTTCCAAGATCGATTATATCTAGGCTTAATTGCTAATTTTAATGGCTACCATCCTGTTAGTGGGATTTATACAGACTCAAGTCTCCCTTACTCCAGGCTATGTCTCTTCTGTGCCATTGCAGAAGTTGCCACTGCCTTCCACAGGAGCAAAGTGACCCCCTCCCAATTTACAGTTGAGATACTGTTGACCCCCACCCAGTCACTAAATAGCTACATTGTCTTAATGGTAAGTCTAGAGACCCATCTGTAACATAGTTTACAAATGAAACAGTTACACTACATTGTGCCACACTGGATTACAGTCAAAATATGCCAATTTATTAGCCATATTCAAAAACAGGCAAATTACAATATACACTATCTTTGATCACCTAGAACAGTGGTTCTCAACTGAATACATGGAAGAACAGTGACTACTGGATCTGCCATAGTTGCCCTCTCTTGGTCTAGGCTTTGTATGTTTCCATATGTGCCAACGTTCAACTGCCTAAAGTGGTTCTCATCATGTGGGTCCCCAGATGTTTTGGCCTACAACTTCTAGAAATCCCAGCCAGTTGACTAGCTGTTCAGATTTCTGGGAGTTGAAGGCCAAAACATCTGAGGACCCACAGGTTGAGAACAACTGACATAGATTAATTGTTTTCTTCTAGATGGGCAGAATGTGTGACAGAGTTCTGCACATGGAACTATTACGTTACACTATTCCATGTTGGATTATCGTCATAACTTATTATACATAGTCAAAAGAAGAGAAATCCAAAACAGTTGCTACATTGCTCACCTGGAGGGATTGATGGTTTTCTTCTAAGAGTGCCAGAATCACTGAGGATATATTCATCTTCTTCAACATGCAAGGATGAGAGCTGAAGAAGGAAAAGTTTTGGAAGAATTAAACCTCCCCTTCACAGAAACAGAGGAAGTCAGTAGCTCTGGTTATTAATAAAATATACCTGTGCTTAATGTGACACTATTTCTTTCTCTATTTATTTAATAAGTCACCAGATACAATTGGGTTGGTAAAGAAGCTTAGGCTTATGCCTTGAACCCATGGATCTCTTATATTTGGGGTGCTGTGATTTTCCGTTTCAACTTGCTAATATTTACAAGATAATTATGGCAAGCAGTAACAAGGAAATAGATTTATTTATGACCTCCTATAAAGATTGTCTTAGACTTCACATAGATAAAAAAGACCTGATCAGTGTCCCATCATAAAAATTACCTCTGTGGGCAGGGCCAAGAACTTGTATAATACCGTAACCCAAAACTGTACCGTATTCAGCCTGGCATTAGCAAAGATGAAGCTGAATCAATGGCATTTGTTAATGGTGTTTGTGCTGCTCCATAGGGTGACAGGGATCAATGTAACGCTCAACAATGGTGGGTTTGAAAATGTCATTATTGCAATTAACCCTGGGATACCTGAAGACACTAAAATCATTGACAACATAAAGGTAAGATTATTAAATCTTTTAATATCTTGATTTAGTGCCTCAAAGATTGCTAACTTTAACAAATTATCATCAACTCAAAGTCTAGACAGTTTGTAAGCTCTCGTGTTTGCTGCTGCTACTGAGCATCCAGACCCTGCCATGAACTAGGGGTATAGCAGCAAATGTTTCGGCATGGAGTGCCACTCTTTCTCTTTAGGCAGTCAGCAAGGTATGGTTAAATATTTCATAACTTTTCCTGGTGAGGTTTCTATTTCTGTGAAAAACACATTTCTGTAAATTTATGAAGTCATGTGATATTTCAGTACTAGGATTTTTCTTTTGATGGGTTAAGAGCCAGTTTGTTCCTGAAAATATGATTTTGCTAGGCAGTTTTGTGGCATTCCTTTCCGTCTTAGCCAGAAATTAAAGACAGATCTTTATGAGCTAGGGATGTGATCCTGTTTCGAATCATAAGTACCTTGGGTCTCCACGGGCCCTTCCATGTAGCCCTATATCCCCGAATATCAAGGCAGAAAAATCCCACATTATCTGAGTGTGGACACAGATAACCCAGGGCCCTCCCACATAGCCCTATATTCCAGAATATCAAGGCAGAAAATCTCACAATATCTGCTTTGAACTGGGTTATCTGAGTCCACACTCAGATAATGTGGGATTTTCTGCCTTAATATCCTGGGATATAGGGCTGTGTAAGCAGGGCCATAGCCAGAAAAAAAATTCGGGAGGGGTTGAATTTTTTTTTGGGGGGGGGTTTGAAAATTTCACGAGGGGGGGGGTTGAAACCTGCCTCCTAGCTCATACTGAAGCAAAGAGCACAGCAGGGGGCAGAGCAGCCTTCAGTAGCCTGCAGCTTCGCCCTTGTCAACCACCTCCACCAAGTCTGGCTTCCTTAATGAGAGCATTCAACACACACACACCCAACTTGGTTGCTTCACTACATCGGCTATTGCTGCAAGTAATGACAGTGTGAATAAATTGTCAATATTTGCTTGAGATAGTGCTTGCAGTTCTGGAGGGACTCTTAATTTTTTGCATCTTATAGACTTAGCATGGGGATTTGGTTAACCAGTTAAAATTCATGAGTAAACCAGGTTTTTTTTTAAAAAATCTGAAACATTTCGGGGGGGGGGGTGTTGAACCCCTACCCCCCCCCCCCTCTTGCTACAGGCCTGTGTGTAAGGGCCCCACACTGTCTTCTGTGGCATACCAAAACATAAGAATTGTTCTCATGAGGTGTTCACCCTTGGGGTTTGCAGCCCTGAAATGTGATTGTCGGGAACCAGAAGCAGCAAAAAATGTATGCAAGCAATGATATGAGGTCACCTGTTCTATCTTTCTTGTCCTATTGTGCTTTTTACTCCCACATCTGAAGACAATGCTTTGACAGTTTGTTGGCTGAACAATATATTTCCAGATTAATCAAGACTCTTCTAATTATGAGAGAGAAGTGCCACATCATCCGTTTATAGAAGCAGGGGGACTTTCCTCTCACAAATTATGGAGTAGGGAGAGAATATCATTATCCATTTTTTTCATGTCAGGAGCGACTTGGAAAACTGCAAGTTGTTTCTGGTGTGAGAAAATTGGCTGTCTGCAAGGACATTGCCCAGGGGACGCCTAGATGTTTGATGTTTTACCATCATTGTAGGAGGATTTTCTCATGTCCCCACAGGGGGAGCCTGGAGCTGACAGAAGAATTCTCCCCGGATTCAAACCGCTGACCTGTCGGTCACCAGTCCTGCTGGCACAAGGGTTTAACTCACTGTGCCACTGGGGGCTCCATGGGATATAAAATATTGTTAATGAAAAAGTTAAAAAGTTAAGGTGCCACTACATAACTTACACCCCTTTTATGTATGGAGATAATTATACTTTGAGTCCAGCCCACTGAAATGTTACCTATCAAGCTGATGTACTTTAAAATTTGGCATAGTAAAGTTATGACCAACTTAAAGTTTCCTTTAGATTGTCCCAAAATGAATAATCAAAACCAGTGGTTTTGTAAAACCCAGCATTCCATTTGCTATATGTATGTATTAGCTTTGGGCCAGGACAGTGCATGTACTCTGCCATTGTGAGATTTATGACTTCATCACATGGGCAAACAGACCTGTTGTATAACACTTTCAGCACCATTCCTGGATGGAGCCCACCGAATACCATTACACAATGTACAGCTACTTCTGGTGGGGCTCCGTCCATGAACTCATAGAGTAGAATGGGGAAACTGAATCCAGACAAGACAGTTGGTCAGCTGGAAGGCTGAACAGGGTATAGGGTTACAGTCTGTGCTTGATGGGGTTACACCCCCCCCCCCCTGAAGGCACAGGTTCGCAGCTTGGGAGTGATCCTGGACTCATTGCTGAGCCTGGAACCCCAGGTCTCAGCAGTGACCAAGGGAGCTTTCGCACAGTTAAAACCCGTGTGCCAGCTGCGCACGTATCTTGGGAGGTTGGACTTGGTCACTGTGGCCCACGCTCTGGTTACATCCCGAGTAGATTACTGCAACGCACTCTAGTCCAACACTCGACAGCCAGGTTGTTCACTGGAGTGGGGTACAGAGAGCGTACAACTCCTCTGTTACGCCAGCTCCACTGGCTGCCCATTAGCTTCCAGGCACAATTCAAAGTGCTGACTTTAGCCTATAAAGGCCTAAATGGTTCTGGCCCAGTTTACCTGTCCAAACGTATCTTCCTCTATGAACCATCAAGGACTTTAAGATTGTCAGGAGAGACCCTACTCTCAGTCCCACCACCATCACGTTTTATGGGGATGAGAGACAGGGGCTTTGAGATGTTTATTAGGCTTCTACGGATTGATTTTCTACTTAGGCATTTGTAGGCCTGCAAAAGATTTGATTATTCTGCCCCCCCCCCCCCACAACCTTATTTTGCCTACACATTGTTTTCCCAATTAAGTTATTAATTCGAAATAAAGCTGATTTGTAATTGACGTATTTGAATTAAAGTTGAAGCCATCCCATTAAACCCAAAACATTGTGTGTGGCTTCTCTACCTCAGTGCAATTGTAAAGTCTAGGCTGTTATGTATGAAGTACAGTCTGTGGGACTACATTTAGCACCTAAAGTTAGTTTTCAAGTTACAGTTATTCTCAAATTTTATGAACTGTCTTTTCCACAGTCCCCCAAAAGAGTGTATCTCCTTTCCCAGAAGTCTATAGCAGGGGTCCTCAAACTTTCAAAGCAGAGGGCCAGTTCACGGTCTCTGGGTACTGGGGGGCCAGACTATAGTTTGAAAAAAATGAATGAATTTCTATCTACATATAATCATCATCATCATCATCTTTATTTCTACTCCGCCATCATCTCCCTGATGGGGACTCGGAGTGGCTTACATGGGGCCAAGCCCGGACAACATAATACAGCAATAAAATCAAAGCATATACAACAGACAACAACAACATTATCAAAATGACATTAATAGTAATAATAATAATAAAACATAAAATAAACATTCCAATAGACACAATCGCGATAGAGATGACAATGGGCAGGCCACATATTCCGAATAAAAAACAATTAACAAACTATGATGAGATAAAATAGGAGCAGGACGTTTAAATGGAACTCTTAAAACACACAGAGTTGTGGGACAGAACATCCTATTTGGAGGGCACGAGGGCACATATCTTATTTGTAGCACAAAATAATTGTGAAAGAACAATAAAATATTTTAAAGAAGAAACATTTCAATCAATATAAATTTATTAGTATTTCAAGGAGAAGTGTGGGCCTACTTTTGGCTGATGATAGTCAAGTTAATTAGGATTTTAGTCGTTGCCTTCAACTAAGCCTAAAGTTCATGGCGGGGCCAGGTAAATTACCTTGGAGTGGTGCATCTGGCCCACGGGTATTAACTTGGGGACCTCTGGTCTACAGGAACTGTCTTCTATTTAAATAGGTTACAGAGCAAAACCGCTTTTTTTAAAAAAACTATAGAAGTCAATTTCAGCCTACTTTTGGTTATTTTTCTTGTTTTTGTTTGTTTGGCAATTCTGGAGGGTCTCGGGGAGAACAGTGACTACTGGATCTGCCATAGTTGCCCTCTCTTGGTCTAGGTTTTGTATGCTTCTTTATGTGCCAATGTTCAACTACCTAAGTCAGTAGTTCTCAACCTGTGGGTCCCCAGATGTTTTGGCCTACAACTCCCAGAAACCCCCAGTTTACCAGCTGTTAGGATTTCTGGGAGTTGACGGCCAAAGCATCTGGGGACCCACAGGTTGAGGATCACTGGTCTAAGTGTACTTCTAAGAAGTACTTCCAAAACAAGGGTTGGCTATAGACTCTAGCCCTGGAGTTGAATCGTATAGCTAGAATAAACATTGTGTTTTCTGGTTTTCCCTCCCTGAAAAATCTGGTTTCATTCTTGTGCCTTTAACTTCTAATGATAACAAAAAAGATAACAGGGGACAGCTTTTTTTCACCAGTTTTCTGCGTACCAACAATATATTGTGTGCTAGATAAAGCCTCCCCCCCCCAAAAAAAAAATCATACTACACGCCAAACTGTGAATTAGTGGTTAAAAATCACAGGATAATCTGCTCAACTGCAACCAAATACTAATAGGCTGAACCTGTCCTACCAAATTCTGAAAAGCCCGTTCCCATATTTCTTGTAGGTTAAATTGTATGACCTTTAGCTAAAAAACATTTAGCAAAGAGGAAGGAAATGTGAAAATGAAATCCAAATTTATGCTATTGATTTAAACATAAATTTGTAACACATATAATATGCTTTTTCTTCTCTTTGCCTGTTAGGATATGGTTCAGGAGGCATCTTCTTATCTCTTCAGTGCTACACAGCAAAGGTTTTATTTCAAGTCTGTAAAAATTATAATTCCTTTGACATGGACACCCAAGCCTGAATATAAAAGAGTTACCACAGAATCCTATGACAAGGTAAGTGTGGAAATGGTCCAATCAGAGGATGTGGACAGGCTTCTTGGAGAAGGCTGCTGGGGTTCCCAGTGGGAGTCTGTCAGCTCACAACAGCCGTTCCCAATAATGACACAGGACTCCACTCCGTAATCAATCAGAAATTTTTACTGCTGGACATTCAGACACAAAGAAAGCCAGGATTGACTGGTAGCCGCCGGTCAACCCTTTTATACCCTCCCCCACATTTGAAATTCCCTTTTCCCCCAACCAAGAGTCCCGCGCAACATTCCCGCCAAATGCCAGCTGCTCCCCCCGAGGTCACCAGCTGCACGGTTCTTATCAGCGTTGCATGTCAGGATCCTGGTTTTTAGCGCCAAAACCCAAGGCCTGGAAACCCGCTCCTGACATGATGTCCTCCTCCTCCTCTTCTTCCTGGAATGGAAATATATGTCACTACTACATTCCTTCTTCATCTAGCGAACCCTGGTATTTTTTCAACAAGCTACAATGGAATGTTGAGTGTATCTTCCCAAAAACTTTTGGCAGTTGCAATTTATATGCAACATCATTGATTTTATTGGAGATTCTAAATGGGCCAATATATTTAGGAGACAATTTTCTGGACGGGGCATCCAGCTTGAGATTCTTGGTGCTCAGCCATACCAAATCCCCCTCCTCCAATCGGTCTCCTTCCCATCTCTTACGATCTGCGAATAACTTATATCTCCGTTGGGCTTCCCGGAGTGACTTCACCACCTCCTCCCAACTGGCTTTCACCTTGTCTGGCCATCCCTCCTTTCCCCATGATTCCTCCTCCTCCCAATTCGGCAGTTTCAGTAAAGGGGCTACCTCCCTACCATAAACTATTTCGAATGGGGACTTCCCCATTGATGCATGACAGGCTCCGTTGTATGCGACTTCTGCATATGGGATAAGATCTGCCCAGTCGTTCTGGCAATGATTTGTGTATGTCCTTAGGAATAACCCCAACGTCTGCTGTGTGCGCTCGACCCCCCCCCCCATTGGTCATGGGATGGAATGCCGAGCTCAGGGTCCTTTCTACTCCCAGCAGCTGCATGAACTTCTCCCAGAATTTTGCTGTAAACTGCACCCCTCGATCGCTTATGACCTGATTGGGGCATCCGTGTAGCCGATATATGTGTTTGATGAAAAGTTCAGCTAATTTTTCTGCGGATGGCAATTTGGGCAGCGCCACGAAATGCGCCTGTTTTGAGAATAAGTCCATCACTGTCCATATGTAGCGTTGACCCCAGCTATTTGGAAGTTCGCCTACAAAATCCATGGCGATCACACTCCACGGCTTCCATGGCTCTGCTACCCTCTGTAACAACCCTGCCGGCTTTTGTGTGGGTACCTTATTTCTCGCACATGTGTCACATTGGGATACATACAATTTTGTGTCACCCCTCATCCCGGGCCACCAACATTGTCATGCCAGTAGTTTCAGGGTTTTGGTAACCCCCAAGTGTCCTGCCCCTACTGTCATGGCATCTTATCATCATTTTCTCCCGCAGGCTGACTGGGATATACACTTTCTTGTTCACAAATCCCAATCCACCCTTCCATTCCACCTTTTCCTTGTTTCTCTCCAGCCACTTATCCTCCTTGTATGCTTGTTTTATCTCTTCCTCCCATCCCCCGTCTTTGCTCTCTACCCCCACAAGCCTTTGGCTCAGTTCCACCTGTGCTCTGGTCTGCACCGCCATGCCCCACTATTGTTCCGAGAAAACACTCCCCTTTCCCTCCCTTCATCCTCCGGCATACGCGACAACGTGTCTGCCACGACGTTTTGCCTCCCCTTGTGGAACTTCAGCTGAAAATCGAATCTGCTGAAGAACTGAGCCCACCTTATTTGTTTCGCCGACAACTTCGGGGGCGAAGTGATATATTGTAGGCTTTTGTGGTCGGTCCATACCTCAAAGAGTATGCCGCTTCCCTCTAATAGGTGCCTCCAATTCTCCAAAGGCTTTTAATATCGACAGGGCCTCCCGTTCCCACACTGGCCAATTTCGTTCAGCTTCGCTGAACTTTTTTGATATGAACCCACATATCAACCTACCCTCCAGGTCCTTTTGCATCAACGCTTCCCCATAAGCCCAGTCTGACACGTCACAATGAATCACAAACTGCTTGGTCAGGTCGGGATGAACCAGGATAGGCTCTTCTGTGAACCTGCGTTTCAGTTCCTCGAAAGCCCTCTGGCATTCTACTGACCAATCTAACCTTGCTCCCGGAGATCGCACTCTTACTGTCTCCCCCTCCCTTTTGTCTTCAGCAACTCAGTGAGGGGTAGCGCCAACTGGACGAAGTCCTTTATAAACACCTGATAAAAGTTTGCAAATCCCAGGAATGATTGCAACTGCTTGCGTGTCTTGGGTGGTTCCCACCCCTTGACATCCTCTACCTTTGAAGGGTCCATCACCACCCCTCCCTGGGAGATCCTATACCCGAGGAAGTCTATTTGGTCCTTGTTAAACTCGCACTTGGGTAGCTTCGCGAACAGCTTCGCCTCCCTCAATTTCTGAAGTACCTCCCTCACCAATTGGACGTGGGATTGTCTATCGCGGCTGAATATTATTACATCATCCACAAAGCAGTACACCCCACGGTATAATAATGGATGCAGCACTTCGTTAATCATTTGCATAAACGCCCCTCCCGAGCCTTTTAGCCCAAAGGGACACACGGAATATTCAAAATGGCCGAGCGCACAGGAGAACACAGTTTTCCATTTGTCCTCAGGCCGTATCCACAACTTATGGTAGGCCTCAATTAGGTCGATTTTCGTGAACACCCGTGCCTCCGACAATCTCGATAATAAGTCCTTGGTTAGAGGCAACAGGTAATTGTTGGTCGTGCTCACTGCGTTCAGTCCCCTATAATCCACACACAACCTCAATGAGCCGTCCTTCTTGTGCCTAAATAGCGCTGGGGCCCCCAACAGGGATTCGGATGGTTCTATGAACCCTCGGGCCAAGTTTTTATCTATGTACCTTCTTAATTCCTCCATCTCCCTCGCCGACATGGGGTATAACCTACTTCTAGGCAGCTTCTCACCATGGTCAGGAAAAAATCGAGGTTCCCAACCTCACCTCCAAATTCCACTCTCAGTTCCTCCCTTCTCTGTTGGTAGAAGGGAGGTTGTGCTTCCCAGCTCTCTGCTCGCGGTGGCCCTCCCTGGAGCCCTTGTTGCTCTGGGGGCAATCCTTGCCGCCCTGTGCCGCTCCCGGCTCCGGCCAGGGGCACCAGAAGCGTCTGCTGGGATGTCAGCGCGAAGCTCCATGGTTGTCTTTCCTCCTCGTCACTCTCCGCCCCAGTTCTCCAACTCGCCTGCATCTTAGGCCGTGCTCCGGATCCTCGGTTGCTCCTCTCCTCCGTACTCCACATCGATTCCCCCTGGGGTCGGGGTTCCTCTACCAGGGGGGCCAGACGCTCCATCAATCTTGACATCACTGCAAGGGTGGTCTCCATGGCCGCCACCTTTTCCTCTAGGTACTCCATTCTCTGCGGGGAGGGGAAGTCTAGCCCACTGCTTTCTCTCGCTGCTGCCTCTGCCCCCTTTGCTTGCCTCTGGGTCACTCCGTTGGGCCGGGCATAAGCAGTCGATGAAGCCAAGGCAGCTACTCTCTCCAGTTCCTCCTCCGCATTCTTAAAAGGGGAGTCTGGCTCTCCCCCTGCCGCTGGATTCTCCTCTTGCTCCATAAAGATACCTCACTGCAGCCGCGGGATGGTGCTGATGAATCCTGGCTTAATGTCAGCTCACAACAGCCGTTCCCAATAATGACACAGGACTCCACTCCGTGATCAATCAGAAACTTTTACTGCTGGACATTCAGACACAAAGAAAGCCAGGATTGACTGGCAGCTGCCGGTCAACCCTTTTATACCCTCCCCCACATTTGAAATTCCCTTTCCCGCCAGCCAAGAGTCCCGCGTAACATTCCCACCAAATGCCAACTGCTCCCCCCGAGGTCACCAGCTGCACGGTTCTTATCAGCATTGCATGTCAGGATCCTGGTTTTTAGCGCCAAAACCCAAGGCCTGGAAACCGGCTCCTGACAGGAGTCTCAATATTTTCTTAAGAAATGTATTCTGGAGGGCCTCCAGTTTTGCTGTCTGAGACTCATCCCATCCCCAGACAGCAGCACCATACAAAATCTGGGCTATAACTTTACTCCGGAATATTTTAAAGGCTGGGATTTTTTAAAATTAGATATGTTGTGGTTTGATTATTATGTTTTATGCTATGTAATGTTTTTGTTTACATGTTTTTTGCCACTTTGAGTCCTGATCCGGGAGAAAAGTGGCATAGAAATAAATAAATAAATAAATAAATAAATAAATAAATAAATGTACTTAAAACACAAATACAATTATGCTCTTTCTAAATTTCTTTTAAAAATGGGGTAAAAAAATCCTCAACTTAGGGCAGTGGTTCTCAACCTTCCTAATGCTGCGACCCCTTAATACAGTTCCTCATATTGTGGTGACCCTCAACCATAAAATTATTTTCATTGTAGGGAGTTGTAGTTGCTGGGATTTATAGTTCACCTACAATCATAGAGCATTCTAAACTCCACCAACGATAGAATTGAACCAGACTTGGCACACAGAACTCCCATGACCAACAGAAAATACTGGAAGGGTTTGGTGGGCATTGACCTTGAGTTTTGGAGTTGTTGTTCACCTACATTCAGAGAGCACTGTGGACTCAAACAATGATGGATCTGGAACAGACTTGGCACGAATACTCAATATGCCCAAATATGAACACTGGTGGAGTTTGGGGGAAAATAGACCTTGACATTTGGGAGCTGTGGTTGCTGGGATGTATAGTTCACCTACAATTAAAGAACATTCAGAACTCCACCAACAATGAAATTGAACCAATCTTGGCACACAGAACTCCCATGACCAACAGAAAGTACTGGAAAGGTTTGGTAGGCATTGACCTTGAGTTTTGGAGTTGTAGTTACCTACATCCAGGGAGCAGGTGGAAGGCTTTTGGTGTGAGGATTTGCTGTCTATTTCCAAAAAGGAAGAGAAGGACAGGCAGAGAGATCTTCAGCCTTCTCTGCCAAATGGATTCCTAAGACCATCAGAAATTGTGACCTCCTTGGTGACCTCTCTGAAATCGCCCTCGTGACCCCCCAGGGGTCTCGACCCCCAGAAACACTTCCTTAGGGCAACAATTTCAGATTAAATATGCAGTCCAGTACCTCGTTCTTGAAATGCAACACCATTTACACAACTATATTTATGCTTCTTGCTTTAGATTGACATTTAATAACAACAAAATAATTGTAATTGCACATATATGCAACAATGTCCTCAATTCCTGCCCAGATGAGGAAGATCAGCACACATTATGCCACTTCCACCATTTTCTATGCTTTCCCCCAAGAACCAACACCTCCTGGTTCTGGTTTTGTGAGTTGCTCTTTAAACTTTTGTATATGTACTCCTAATGCCCAGTTTAAGCTTCTCTCTCACCCTCTAGTTTTTCTGGACATTAATCCTGAATAGGATTACTTTGAATTTCTACCACTATGCTATGCTCCTGATTAAAACAATACATCATTTGAAATAGTTGTTTTTTAAAAAACCAACACATTCAAGAGAATAGAGAACAATGTTCTGCATTTATACTGGGAACTTTTTAGAGTCTTGTCATCTTCCCAGTGATTGTGTGATTCCTTGCACCCAAAGTCTTATTAAACCATAGCAGGATAAAGGATCATTATTTGACTATTTCCAATGGGAAAAAGTGATGTCCAAATAACCCTGTAGCCATATAGCAGTGAAAATCACTGGCCCTTGCCCTGCAAACCCGACAGAAATGTCATTCACTCATATATTGAACTGCATAGCTACTTTAGGATACTGGCTGAATTATAACAAGGTTGCCCGTTTCTTTTCTTACCTTTATTTCTATTTTTTTTTAGGCTCATGTCATAGTAGCCGACCCTTTCCTAAAATATGGAGATGACCCATACACCTTGCAGTATGGAGGGTGTGGTGAACCAGGACGCTATGTTCATTTTACATCTAACTTCCTGACAAATGACAGTATGCATGATGTTTATGGACCACGAGGTATTATCTGTTGATTGAAATTCAGTTTTTAACAGATTAAGTGAAGTTCTATGAAGGCTTTAATATCATTTATTCAATACTCTCCTAAAGTTTAGATAAGAATTGGAAATCTTTGTTTAATTAGTACATGTTCAGGCAATAACAATAATATTGTTATAGGTAATTGCTTGTGTTCTTCTTTAGTTTTAGCCAGCTTATTGTACCATGTATTTTCAGACTATGCACCACCAAGTCTGCTATTAGGCAAACTGGAGTAGTTGCTGGGGAAGGACAGCCTAATGTTGGAGGACAGATTTGTCTCTAGACCAGTGGTTCTCAACCTGTGGATCCCCAGTTGTTTTGGCCTACAACTCCTAGGAATCCCAGGAAGTTTACCAGCTGTTAGGACTTCTGGGAGTTGAAGGCCAAAACATCTAGGGGCCTACAGGTTGAGAACCATTTCTAGACATAGGTTTCATTGTGCCATGTAGACATGAAGCTATATTTTTTTTGAACTGTGGTGTTCTGAGAATACCTTGGACCATGAGAAGGTCCAACCAGTTCATACTTCAGGAAATAAAGCCCGACTGCTCATTGAAGGGAAGGATATTGGAGGTAAAGATTAAGTACTTTGGCCACATTATGAGAAGATAGGAAAGCTTGGAGAAGACAATGATGCTGGGGAAAATGGAAGGGAAAAGGAAGAGAGGCTGACCAAGGGCAAAATGGATGGATGGTATCCTTGAAGTGACTGGCTTGACTCTGAAGGAGCTGGGGATGGCGACGGCTGACAGGGAGCTCTGGTGTGGGCTGGTCCATGAGGTCACGAAGGGCTGGAAGTGACTGAACGAATAAACAGCAACAACATATTTTTGGATCTGGCAACTTTCCAGCTCTGAAATAAGTATTTGAAATATTGTATTATATGTTTTAACCGGAAAAATTATCACTGTATGACATGTGTGTTGATCAATTGTATATCATGAGCCAGGATGTGATTTGCACAATGAACAAAAAACCCAAAACATTAATGGCTGCCTGGCTTTGAAAAAATTAACTACAGTAACCCTTAGGAGGAGAAGGAAGAAAGACATGATGCCTGGAGATAAAAATTCAGAGGAGAGGCTGACTTTACAAATTTATTGGAGGGAGAGAAAGGTCAGCAAGAAGGAAAAGTGGCCAGCACTGAACTGTAAGAGAACAAAGGCGCTTCTAATCCAGATAAAAGTGATATAAGATAAAAGACAGAAGGGGGGCAAAGAGCAGATGAAAGAATAATAAAAGAAAGAGAGTTGTATGAGTGAAAGGAAAGGAAGAGAAGGAACACCATGGTGAGGGTAGGATTAACACATTTTAACCCAGGTGAAACTGTACTTTCACAAATTGTTAATATAAAGCAGAGTGGTGGAATTTTTTGCTGGCTCTTCACAGGCAAAGTCTTAGTCCATGAGTGGGCTCATCTCAGATGGGGTGTCTTTGATGAATACAACAACGATGCACCTTTCTATACTACCGGAGTAAACCAGGCGGAAGCAACAAGGTATATCATCAGTGGTCATGAAATGTCATTACTTTGCAAGGGTCTTTGTTTACCCTCTTCTAAGTACATGTAGAATAAAGGTGTGCCTGTTCTTCTTAAAGAAATATTATTAACTATTATGTAGAACAGACATGGATGCATGAATGCTTACTATAGGAGATAAAGCTACTATGTTTAGATTGCTCCTTCATCACTATATGATCCTAGAGATCATGAAGTAACATATTAAAATGTTATTTTATGACCGACTAATTATGTTTGTCTTAGATGCTCAGCAGCTATCACTGGACAGTATATATTTCGACTTAATACAGGAGCTACCAGGAAGTGTAAATTCGAATACCGAACACAGCTTTATGAGCCTGGATGTCAGTTTATTCCAGACAAAACACAAACCTCTTCAGCATCTATAATGTACATGCAAAGTGTGTCTTCAGTAAGTATGACTAAAGACCCTTGGAAATGTTTTTTTAACCCATTGCTTTAAGAATACAAGATATTTTCCAATTTTCGCCTAATTAAATATGAATTTAGGATAGTGTAGTTTTATGTCCAGTAACTCATGCAAATCCAAGTTTTGCTAATTATTTCCCATATAATCTCAAACATTTATTCATGTCTCTCCTCCTTCCTATTTTTTTCTTAATTTTCTCTCTCTGTTACCTTTTAGCTTTTTCCTTTTCATTTTTTACTTCTCTTAATTATCAATGCAATTCTTTGACATTGTAAACATGTGTTTTTTCCTTCTTATGTTCTTTATCTTTTCTTTTCTAGTTTTCTCATTATTTTAGTTATTATTTGTCTTCTTATAGAATCCATGTCTACTTGGTTTTTATTTCTGGACAATGTAAGTTGCTGTTAAACTTACACAACAACACAGTGGCATATCTGTTATTTTGGTGCAAATGCTGAATGTTAGAATGCTTCATATTTCTTTAAGGCATTCTACCATTTGCTGATAAAAGTCACACCTTTTAGCAGCGGTACTCAATAATTTTAACGTCTATTTAGCATTTGGGGGATGAAAAGAAGAAGAATTTATTCTCTGCTGCATATTTCAAGTGCATCTTTCCATTTATAAAATGGAAAATCTGCTGAACTCTGGAGAAAATGGAATACAATTTGCTCATGCTCCAAACATACATACACATAGCCACATCAACACTTTGCTTTGTTCTTTATCTACTGTTACAATTTAGTTTGAGCTCAGCAGGCAAGACCCTTGGCTTTGACTTCTAGCATTAAAGTCCTATAAAGAGAGACTTGTGTAAGATCTTATACTGAAGATATTTAAACTGGGAACTTCATGATTTGTTGTTTGATGCCCCTGCAGAAAATCAGTTCACTGTACCTTGGAGGCCCATCGACATGGAGCGCATACCCTGGAGGGGGTGAGAAGTCATTCCTAGGCAATACATGATCCACAGGGCCTTCCTGCCCCCAATGCAGATTAAAGCCAATTAATGTGGTTTTAGGTAGAGTCTGCAGCTTCTGTGAAGCTCCAAAGCAGACCCACACATCAGAGTCATGTGAACAGTTGGTCTGGTACGGTTTCAAACCTGGTATGAGCCAGCACTGCCATCTCATTTTCCTCATGGTCTATGGCATGGGAAAAGGGGGTGCTTCTCTCCCGCTCTCCCCCCCTCTCTCTATATATATACTGTCACTGTAGTGGTGACCACAAAGCTCCAAGTTGCTCCTGGCTATTGTTTGGCATCTTTGCTGATGTTAGCAAAGATACCCATGTGACTTAGGGGAAGGGGAAGTGATCACCCACCTACTTTCCCATTCTCTTCTCCAAGTTACGCAGGTGCTTTTGCTGTTATCAGGAAAGGAGCTGAGTTACAGCCAAGATCTATTTGGAGCTCCATAGCAACAAAAATGATACAGATAAGGGTGGTGATCCCGCAGACCATAGCCTTGAGGCTGATCAAGGTATTGGGTGGCAACCTGTGCTCAATAGGGTTACAATCCCCTTGAGGACACAGGTTCGTAGCTTAGGGGTCCTCCTGGACTCAGTACTGACGCCTGATCTCCAATTGTCAGCGGTGTCCAGGAAGCCTTTGCACAGTTAAAGCTTGTGCGCCAGCTGTGACTGTACCTCGAGAAGCCTGACTTAACCATGGTGGTCCATGCCTTGGTTATATCCAGAATTGCAGTTTGCCCAGAAACTGCAATTGGTACAAAGGTCGGCAGTCAGACTTCTAACTGGAGCTAATTATAGGGAGTGCACAACACCCCTATTGGAGCAGCTCCACTGGCTGCAGATAAGTTTCTGGTCCCAATTCAAGGTGCAGGTTATGACTTACAAAGCCCTAAATGGTTCAGGCCCTATCTTCGTGACCGCATCTCCCCCTATGAACTGGTGTGGGCTCTAAGTTTGGCCAGGGAGGCCCTCCTCTTGCTTCCACCTCCGTCACAAGCACAGTTGGTGGGGACATGATAGAGGGCCTTCTCGGTGGTGGCCCCTCAACTTTGGAACTGCCACCCCAGGGAGATTAGGCAGGCCTCCACATTGTCCTCCTTTTGTAGGGAACTGAAAATCTGGATGTTCCAGCAAGCTTTCGAGAACAGCTAGTCCCTAAGCCCAGTCCCTAGGTTGCTAGATAGTACTCTGTTTTGCACTTTATCCACTCCCCGGCCCTATGACATGTTGTTTGCCCTATCCCTTGCCCAACCCTTTTATAGGTGATCATGCCTATTTTAGTACTCCTGGCCATTGGTATTGTTGAATCTCATGTGCTGGAGCCCCAATGAAATTGGTTTTATATTTTTATTTTTAATGTGTTTTATCATGTTTTTGTATTTTATGATGTTTCTTTTTTCTATTTTGTTTATTAAATTATAGTTGGATGTCCTATATTGTCTAATGTGCCTTGTCTCGCCGTAAATTGTTTGTATGGTTTTCTGTTTGGCATTCAGTGTTTGCCATATTCGTTTGAAACCACCCTGAGTCCCTTCGGGGAGATTAGGGAGGTCTATAAATAAAGATTATTATTACTATTATTATTATCATTATCATTATCATTATTGTAGGATAGAAAATAGTGTTGTTGCAACACACATGAATAGTCTAGAATATTGCGATTCTGGATCAATCTCACACTAAGTGGCCGTTTAAATCGCTCCCAAGACATACAATATGTATGATGTAGTATATCTGCAATTTATGTATTTCATGCTCATTATGCTATGGAAGAACTTTCTAAGCATTTCATGTTGGTGACACATATTTTAGACATGTATCATTTTCCGATATAGTAATTCAGTTTTACTAACAAACTGGAAGTTAAGCTAATTCAATGGATGGATTTTGGATTATGACTCTGGACTTGGACTTGTCTCTTATAAATTGTCTTTTTAACTTATGATGATGATTTCATCAATATTTAACTGTGTTTTCATTGTTTATTTATTATTTATGTATTTAAAAGTTTTGTATACCGGCCTTCTCACCTCTCTTGAAGAACTCAGACCGGTTTCCAACCATAACATCACATACAATCAATAAAACATCATAATACATATTACAGTAAAACATTAAAACAGCAATTACAATCAATAACTATAATGGTCAGTCGTCACACTAAAATCATTGTATGTTGTTGTTGGCATCTAATGGTTGCTGGTTGTAAGCGCCCTGAGTCCCCATCTGGGGGTGAAAAGGATGGCATATAAATGTCTGAAATAAATCAATCAATAAATTAACCCCTTTAAAGAGATGCGGACTCATACATAAATTGTGATAATGAAATGTATGGGGATACAACACATCTCATGAAAACCTATGGTTTATATATATTTTAAAATATATGATTTATTTTTTATTTCACATGCACTTATTTCTTCTTTAACTGTGCAGTACTTACTTTGAAAGTAGTTATACTCCAGAAATGTTTTTGTGGCTGCCATTTTTAACCTTTCAGTGTACCATTTCTAACCTTTCACATGCCATTTTAACCTTTTGTGCAGGACACAAAAACACAGTTTTTACTGTTTCATAAACTTTTCCCATGTTCTTATGATAAAACCAATTATGAAATTACATTTATAACTCAGGAACAAAAAATGTGTTACATAGTATTGTTTTCTGCAGAGAAAAAAAAAACCCTGTTTCCTGGACAGAAAAAAAACTGTTTTCTGTTAAGATTGACTATGTGCAAAAACATTTTTTTACAATATATCCCTATTTGCAAATAGGCTTCAGAAACTGTGGTTTTCAGAGATGTTCTCACAGTGAGGAAACAAATAGCTAAAATTATTTTTCTTTCAGAAGAATTTTACTGGGAAATCACATGCCAGTTGCAGTAGCATGCAAGCTATGGAGAAACTATACAGAATTAATAATCTACTCAGCTTCTGTAGCTCCTATTCCACCCCCTGTCCCCACATGTGTGCCATAAGAAAGAAGGAACTGTCTTCAAATACACTGCCAATATAGCTGTTATCAGACCTCTTTCTTTCCTTTTTTTTCTTAGGTCACACAGTTCTGTGATAAAAATAGTCACAACATCAAGGCAACAAATATGCAGAACAAACAGTGCAACTTCAGAAGCACCTGGGAAGTCATTACGGACTCCTCTGACTATGCCAGTTCATCCCCAATAAATTCTCCTCCATCCGCACCCGCAATCTCATTGCTGCAAACACATGACAGAGTTGTATGTTTAGTATTAGATGTTTCTGGGAGTATGGCTTCGGTAAGTTCAGTTTTGCTTATTTGGAATTCAGTTGTAATGCAAACAGCACAAAGGAACTACATATTTGTTATCATCTGTATCAAACTGTTCACTGAATATGCGCATATACCATCTCCTAAGCAGCATTTGGCCTCTTCCACTTGTGGGACTGGTCAGGTTTGTGGGTCTGTTCAGTCTTTACTTCCCCACAGTAGTAGCAGCAGAATATTTCTCTACCAAGATCCCCTTCTTTATATTATGTCTCTGCCCAGGCAGTTACTAGTCAAGGACTTGAGAAAGCATTTTTATTAATTCAACAGAAACCTGACCTGTTGCAGTGAAAGTAGGAAACAGAAAGGAAAAAGCCATGAAAATGAACAAAATTTCTGACACACTGAAGAACAATGAGTGAAGAGGCATCCAGCCTCTTTCAACAGTAAACCATTGTGACTACTTGTCAGATAGCACCTCACTGGCAGGAAATAATGAATGGTCCACTCACTGCACAACTATCTACTTCCTTGATCACCCCCAGTTTGGTGGTGTTCCCTGACTCCTAAGTCAGGTTTTGGGTGGGGTCCATCAGGAAATGTAGTTATTATAATGGAGTTCCGCCATCATAGTTACATTTCCTGGTGCAGGATCTTGGCAATAAATCACAAAGATGGCAATAAAATGGCAGAAATTAAAAATGGACTAGATTAAATTCCAAACCATAAGAAAATTAATGTAATGAGAGATACAAATAACCAATTGAACAGACCAAAGATGCATTGTTCTTGTTGTTGTTGTTGTTGTTGTTGTTATCATCTTTATTTTTACCCTGCCTTTCTCTCTATGGGGACTCAAGGTGGCTAACAATCCCACACTAGACAAGTTTTAAAAGTGCAATATAAAATTTAAAGATCGAGCAGTGTGGTAAAAACAGAATTAAAATACAATAAATATTCTAAAATAGCCTTTTAAATTAATATCCCCCTAATCCTCTCAGTTTTTGATGAAAGGTCAGATGGGCCTCTCTGGACATTGGATTTTCGAGCATCAGAAGATCCTTCTATTGTGTCCCACTATCAACCTTCTGATGTTGGTGGGAAATGCAGAAGAGCTTTATCTGCAGATCATAATAAATGGATAACAGTGTGATATTTCAAGCAACAGGCACAGCTGATGCAACAGCTAAAGTTCCTTTAGAAATCCAGTCCCCACCAGTTTAGAAACCATCCAACCAGAGCCTCCCTCCTGCAGGTATGGGTCAGATATAAAGATAGATTCTACAACAAGACCCCCCTCTGGTTCACGCCCAATGAAGCACTCCACTTGAGAGAACTACCAAGAGAATATTGGCTAACATACGCTCAATTATTAAAGACAAACTTGCAAGAGATCAAGTTGAAAACCCAGGAAGAACTTAAACAAATAGACCAAACCATCTCATGGTTTCAATACCAGCAAATATTAGAAAACTTTAGGATAGACTCGAAAAGAGGATTCCAAACCAAAGAGACATTCTGGGACAAGATAATGAAATCAGAAAAGAAAATAATCAAAAAAATATACCAACAATTGCTAACGTGGGCTACCGAAACAGAACAAGTAAAAGGGGTCATGATACAATGGTCAAGAGATGTAGGAAGATCAATCCATATGTCAGAATGGGAGGAAGTATGGCTTAAAAAAATAAAATATACTTATGCAGTAGAAATGAAAGAGAACTGGTACAAATCCTTTTACAGATGGTACCTTACGCCCGACAAAATATCCAAGTTCAGTAGAGGTAGAATTAGAGATATATGCTGGAGATGCGAGAAACAAAAAGGCAACTATATCCACATGTGGTGGAAATGTAAAAAGATCAAGCCCTTCTGGCGGGAAGTTAAAAAAATAATGGAAGCCATTCTAAAAGAAAAAATAGAACTTAAACCGGAAGTAATGCTGTTGGGAATCACTGACTCCATTAAAGACAGGAACTCAGAAAAACTGTTTTTTTTACTTCACCACTGCCGTACGAACAGTGGCAGCCAGAATATGGAAATCTAAGGAAACACCAACAGTGGAGCAATGGTTACTGAAAATATGGGATATTATGAACATGGATATCTTAACTCAAAAAATGTCACAGAGCATAGCCAAACCTCCGAAGACCAACTGGGAGAGTTTTCTAGAATACGTAAAAGGGCAATATGAGGAAATATATATCAGTTCTCTACATTAAAGAAACTCGAAGGTACTGCAGCATGAAGCTGGCGAGGGTGTGATTACCAATTTAGACAAGGGAAAAGAAAAAGGGATACTAGTTCAGTATAATTCCCGGAGCCTGACCAGTAAATCCTGGAAGCATTTTTAAACTCACTGTGGGGAATATATGTTGGTAACGGTAAATGTTGTGGTGGTTAAATGTTCCAATGTTTGTCCATTTGTTTGTATATCTGTCTGTATTGTACATCTGTCTGTATTGTCTTTTGTTCAAATACACTTTTCTAAGAGTAAATAACGCAAATAAACACATATTAAAAAAAAAGAAATCCAGTCCCCACCATGGATCAATGACATTGTTAGACTCTGCTATCTTCTGGTGAATACCTTATATCCAAACTCCTCATCCCTTTGCTGCTTCTCAATATCACCCTGCTGGTAATGGAAAGAAAATAGGAAAATTTCTCAATAGGCAGGAATAGTGAGATCTTAGAGCAAAATGGAAACTGGCTAAGAATTGAGGATATTTTTATGAGTTAACATTTCGAATGACATGTGTTGTTTGTACATATCTTCCCTTACAGACATGGAAATAATTTAATTGAAAAACTGGGTATATAGCTTCAAATTTTACTAAAATTACTAAGTTAATCTTAATTGACTCTCTGCCCTCTAAAAGTTTAAGCCTTCCATCATGTCCAAACAGTCTGATAATTAGGCAGGGACTATGAGAGTTAAGGTCTAAAACATGTTAAGTGCACCAGAGTATGGACATCTGTACTAAAAATAACAAGAAGACATCGAATAGTAAATTCTGAAAATTAACTGAGATATAGAAATGAAATATCCAGTTAGTATTCTTCAAGACTCTCTCCCTCCCTAATGAGATCAGACCTGCCCCTCCCTCATAACCTTCCGGAAGAAGCTCAAATCCTGGTTATGGGATCAAGCGTTTGCAGAATAATGGTAAGATTGTTTTTAGCGGACGGCAATGGATTGATTTGGAAGACGACTCGAATTGGCGTACTGTTTTAATGTATATTTACGATTGTTTTAATGTATCCTATGTGTATTTTATGCTTTGTTATTTATTGTTCGGCACCAAATGGTGCCTGTTTGTATCCGTCCCGAGTCCCTCTTCGGAGGTGAGAAGGACGGGATAGAAATGCTCCTAATAAATAAATAATAAATAAGACTGCATCCCAAGCATCATTGAAATGAACTGTTTTCTTGGGCATCTCCCATTCATTTCATCTGGAATATAAATAGTAAAGCTATTTTTTCTTCGTGGTCTCTGCGAATGCACACTTGTGGAGAGACTGCGCCTGCGCGGGCTCCAACGGAAACTTCTACAGTTTAAACTTTTCAAGTTTTGGCGGCAACCCCGCCCAGCCCCGGCAGGGGATAAAAGGGCGCCCCGCACATACCGACACAATTCCTTTTTTTCCGCCGCACGGTTCGCTTCGATACTTCTACTTGGATTGAGATTCTACTAGCGATTTTGGATAGAGCTTCTTCGAGTTGTTTGACAATATTATGTCAACAACTCGCTTCAAAAGATGCGCGAATTGTCCGAGGAAGATCCCTGATTCGGACAAGCACGCTCTTTGCCTTTTGTGTCTCGGAGAGGCACATGTCACCTCCTCGTGTCGTCATTGTCAAGCGTTGACGGCACAGTCCCGTAAGAACCGGGTTCATCGGCTTCGATACCTCTTGTACCAGCAGACGTTGGCTCCGGTACCTTCAACATCGACATCGGCATCGACGTCAGCAGTGGTATCCAGGCCATCGACATCAACATCGACGTCGAAAGAGGCATCAACATCAAAACCCGTCGATCCCTCGACTGAGGCCGAACCTCGCCAGACAAGGGCGAGAAAAGCGGCACAGAAAAGACTGAGAGCAGCTATGTCGACAGCTTCTAAGGCCTCGGTGTCGACAGCTTCTAAGGCCGCAAAGCCTGCGAAGCAGAAGGCTCCATGCACGGTCACGACTGAGACCGTACGCATCCGGCACTCCTCGACCAGCTCGGTGGCGTCGGTGAGATCGATTAGGTCCACGAGGTCGACATCGGCGACTCCGCCATCTTCCATGGCGGTTCTCATCGCTTTTCGCCGGTCTCAAGAAGAATCTCGGCATGCTTCCACCTCATCCTCCGTCCCGCCCACCCTGGGCAAGTCTCTGTCGAAGACAGCACAGCCGCCGGCGAAGAAGAAGAAGACGATGCCGCCTCCATCCTCGTCTTCTTCTTCTTCCCGAAAGCAGACCACCGCCTCCTCGGCCACCTCGTTGGCGAGGTCATCGCCATTGCAGCCTGCTCAACCCCAGCCAGCCTCTCAGCCCGCTCGGGAACCACAGCCGTTGCCAGAGCTGCCTTTGGAACAGCCCGCGTCCCCGGTGATTTCGGTGGACACGGTGATCGAGGCACCAACTCGACATGTGACAGCCAGACAGGAGCTCTTCCCGTCTGTGACGGCCTTGACAACTGTGACGGCAAGACAGGAGACTTCTCCAGTGATGGAGACTCCGGAAAGGGGCAGACAGACTATGAGACTGGCCCGTGCCATTCAGGCCTCGGCCTCAAAAGCCCCTCCAACGGCTCCACCACAACGTCCGTGTCGGGATGTTTCCTCATCTCCTCCTCCCCAGTCTGTCACTGCCGAGGATAAAGAGGAAGATGGCGAGTTACCGGGATCGGTACACTCGGGATCGGTGTTATCTCTCGGGATCGAGAGATCACCCACTCACGACGCTTATGAAGCTGATCCACCATCTCCCACGGACAATGTCCGAGCATTTGCGGATCAAATGGCTCGCATGGCTGATGC